TATAAGATGAACAATCACTCAGTAAGATGAAGGCCTTAACTTTTCCGGCAACTTCTCTTCCCACTCCTCTGTATCGATCATACCATCTTTGTTGACGTCAGCCGCCTCCACGGCGTTTTCCGCGGTCTTGCATTTCGAGGCATCGGAAGAGCAGAACGCCTGAGCGACTTCCGTGTTCGGGATGGTCGAGGTGAACTCGCTGTTGATCATGGCCTGCGTCTTCAGAGAATAGTCCAAAGCGTAGCTGACGTTGAAGTCCGTGCCTGGCGCACCACCACCACCACCATCGGTCAAGCGACGGACCTGCTTGCCAGTTTTGGGGTCCCTGACAGAGAGCATGCGGCGACGGAACTGACCGCTCAACATTAGTGCTTATTTACCTTATAATTCGTCTCGGAGAGCATCTTTGGCCAGCTTTTCTCCTTAGAAAAAGGCTCCAAGATGCTTCATCTCGAGGAGGAATCTAAAAAAGCCTTAACAACAGTTCAGATTCGAGACGACGGCGACGAGTGGCCATGGAAGTTCGGTTAGCGGCCTCAACCATAGCGACGGTCGTTGGAGAGCGCATAACCGTAGCATTCCAGACGAAGTCGAACTGAGGGAGAGCGGCTTTGACACCGGGAATTAGAAGGAGAGGGGTTGGGAGGGAGACTAGAACTGGATTTGACGACGAGGAAGTAAAAATTCAGTGCGTGCTCGTCTGCCATCTCAATGAACAAGCTAGGTAGTTGTACTATATGAAGAAAAAATCGCTCTTGCATGTAGTTCATCTACTGCAGTCTCAATGGGCTAACTACGTCTTATACATTATGATGAAAATGGCAGACTGATTCTACAACCCTAGTACTGGGCACATGATCAACGCGCTATTTCTAAAGTGCGGCACATCAAAGCGCTATTTCTAAAGCGCCCACTTGGTTGAACAGCTAGACTCATATCAACTTCAACAACAAGAACATTGAATGATGGAGTCCTAGACGGATTAAACAACAACGTCTGTAATTCTAAATCTTCCACATCAAAGCGATCATAACTTCTTCATCTCATCGATCGTGACGAAGGTATCATTGTCCTTGTTGAACATCATCCACGCGTCCATCACGGACATACCCGGAGGGGCATCGACCGGCACCTGACGGATGTACTGAAAGAACTGCGTCTGGTTGCATGCTCCAGACGGGCAGTACTGATGGATGTCCGGCACAACCACGCTAGCGACTCCGCCAGACATGTCACCTTCGGTGCCCATGGTGATCACAGCGGCAACACGCTCGCAAGCTTGCAAGCCAGTCGCATTGGCACGCTCGAACACGGGAGTTAGACCCAAGAGAAATCCATCTTGAAACGCATCTTAGAACCTTGTTTTTCCCCTTGAAAGCGGTCTCAGGATGCTTCTGAAAATGGGAGATTTCTTGTAGCCTTAATGGAGGAATGTATTCCATATCCTGCTCCCAGGACTCCATGCAGCGGCCGCCGTCGTGGATCATCGGATCATAGCCGGCGCAGAAGTACATACCGCTGGTGCGGATCATTTCCTCCGTGACGACCTCAGTCATCCCGGACTTGGGATCCTTGAACTCGATGAACCGCTCGTAGCAGTAGTTTTGCGTGTTGCGTGGAGGCTCAACGAGAACGAAGGAGCCACCGGCGGATTTGAAGATCTGGTAGTTTAGGGAAAAAGAGAATCTAGACGATTTTTACTTGTTTTCCAAAAAGAAAAGAAATTTTAGAAAGAAAAGAAATTTTAAAAAGAAAAGAAATTTTAGAAATAAAATAACAGTTTGCTCTATTGGTGGCAACTTTGTGAACAATAACTCAAAACAAAGCACATAGTGATAAAGAATAGCCTGTCAAGTGATTTGCTTTTGTGATACAACAACATCGCACCCACTCTGTACTCATAACTCTCTCTCCTCCCTCCATGAAAATAAAAGTCCTCAAATCAAAAAACAAGATGCACAACAAATTACCTTCCTCATTCCCATCTCTGGCTCAAATGGTCCCATAGCGATCTCGTCGATGCCCTTGAACGTCTTCGGACCGACAGCGGATGGGAAGGTGACGGCCAAGATGTTCCCAGCCATGTCTGGCGGAATCGTGCTCAACTTGTTCAGCACCTCCAATCCGGAATAGCGCTCCTTGGCCATAGGTTAAAGCTCGGCATTCGCTGCTGGTCACTGACTCCTCTGAGTCGGAAGAGGAGACCCGCTTTGACAAAGCTCTTTGTTCCCTTCGTTTTCCCCTGTTGTTTTTTCCTCAAGGAGTAGGAGTCTCCTCTTCCGACGTGTCAGTGACAGACCAACCTCAATGGTGACCCCAATCTAAATGTTGAGCCTTAAATAGAGGTACCGATAACTGTCGTATCCGCCGCATCCGGCTCAGAGCTCATGCCGCTTCCCGCAATCATGACGCCGGGCCCTAGAGAACGGTCGGCACCGGCACCGGAATCGGCGTGGAGGAGACGATGTTCACCGTGGACCTCAGCTAGTTCGCGGAGACGACGCTGGCGACGATTAGAACTAAGAGAAATCCATCTTGCGCAGCATCTTGGGTCTCGTTTTCCCTATAAAAACCTAAGGACCAAGATGGTGCTTCTGAAAATGGGAGATTTCTTGTAGCCTTAAGATGAGAACTACTTTCGGAAGGCTTCGTGTCCTTACCAGCTTCGACGGCAAGTAAGCCCATCACGAAGTTCATCACGGCGAGGATTAGAGAGCGGATCCGTGGTTGTTGGTTGGGGCAGGACGTTAATAAACAATAACGAGCACATTATGAGCACTTACCATGGATCGAAAATCGAAGATTAAATGAGTATAAGAACTTGTCACTTTTCAAGCCATAAAAGCAAGACAATAATCGCAACCAGTACGACCAAAGCGCGCTTCATGACACGATTCTCCTCTTGCATCTTCTTTTGGGCATTAGCTGCCGCGGTAAGTTCGCCCACAGAGACGGAACTGTTGGGAGTTTTGGATGGAGATAAGGTTGTAAGAGTAGGAGATATGATAAGAATAGATTGACGACGAGCTGATGTAGAGACAACATTTTGATCATGGCAATTTAAATCACCAAAACTACAAGTAAAAACGACGGGTAAACAAATCATCTTGCAAGATCGAAGAAACACCAACGAACGACCCATTTAATATAGCGAAATATAAAAAAAGGGCCAAGAGCTGTAAGATGTATGTATCAAGAGTTGTGTCCAAATACCCCTGATCTTGAACTGTAAGATAATGTTTTGAACCGAAGAAGACCAAGATCTTTCTATTTCTTTAAACAAAAAAATATATCCATTATCAAGAAGAAAGGTCAATAGACTCCAGCAGTGTAATATTACCCACTCGCATCAGCATCCCATACTGCCAGAGCTGCTTTAACCGAGTCTGGAAAATCAGCGTAGTCGAGTTCACCGTTGTCATTTTTCTTGGCTTGGATGAGTTTACGAATGCGCTTCATGAAGTAGACGACCTCCGCTTTGTCTAATTCACCTGTGTCATCGGCGTCCATCATGGCCAAGGCGGCGCGGAGCCACGCCGGGACATCGGCCAGCTCCTCACCTTCAACCTGTTTTGTTTTTAAGGTACTTGATTGGAAAACTTGATTTTTGGGTTGGGTAAAGATTTGAAAGGATCATGGGTGGTTTGCTTGGTTTTAAAAGGGAAGAAATTGAGTATGTGATTGAAATTGAGTATGTGTATGTAATACTAATCGGAGTCACAATCAGGAACGGACTTGGCTAATAAAGTTGGAAAGAGTCTCTATAGAGATGAAGCGTCGCTGGAGTGCCTTCCTACACCTTGCGGATTCCTGTTTAGACTATGGGATCCCCTTTGGGACGACCATGGTTTCCTGTCTGTCTTTCTTCATCTTCCTTCAGTACTAGTTCGTTGCATTTCTCCCATCACGGCATGATAGAAGAGGCTGTGGAAGTCTGAGCGCCAGTACTACTCCTTTCACATTCACTACTACTACAGGTATACTAGCTCCTTTCACTACTCCTACTACAGGTATACTACTTACGCGATCCCTTTTGGGACGACCATGATTTTTCTCATGTGACCTGCAAGCATAGACTCTTTACAGGAGAAGTGGCGCCAACGAGGATGCAAAGACTCCTTACGTAGACTCTTTACCCTGATCGTATTGACTTCATCGTCGCTGCTTTCCATGACCTTCTCATAGTAGGCAGCTCGCTCCTCCTCATTGGCGAACTGCGGTGCGACTTTAGGTTTGGGTTTGGACATCTTGTTGATCTTCTTGTATAGTTGTCTTAAATGGGAACAGTCTAAACTCAGTAGGTGGCCTCAGAATCTTAGAGACTTGTCTTCTTATCAAGAATGCTCTAAAATGAGTAATTATTTCCTTGCAACTTGAACAGTCTAAAATATATTTTTTTCTAAAGAATCGTAAAGAAAGATAGTGAAGAACAGTAGTGATTTCTTTCTCCTTGTTGTTCGGACCACGTAGCAGAAGTTGTTGTTTTCACAGAGGACGTTTTTGTCTTCTAGAGATGTAAGTTTCTCCTTCTGTCGAATCTGCCGTCGATAAGAAAATGACGTCACGCGAGCGCTCGTCGTTGCCGCACAAAGGGCGGCGCTGAAGATGTTGGGTTCTTTCTTAACCTTATGTGGAACTGAGAAAATCTACGTGATAAGACTAGTATCGTTCCCTCCTAAAAACTACTCACACAATTCATTATGAAACAAGAAGTTCCCATATGCGTTATTCAATTCTATTTACCCTATAGTTTTTTCGGCTACGTGCTTCGAGGCAAAAATGCCTCGTTTGGTCTAGCCTTTGTTCCCTAAAAGAGAGTTTTTGAATGAAGAGATGAAATCTGAGAGCTGGTCTCCCAGTCTTAAATTTAGGAATAGTTGTAGTAAGTGCAAGAACTTGATCTAAAATGTAATCTAGTTGATGTCGTTCGAGATGAACGAAAGAGGATATTTAGAATCTACACACTTTTATACTCAGTTGGATCCTCTACGGGTTGTGACAGTCGTGCCCTGGTTTTCACCTTATAGAGATGATAGTCAAGAATTTGAATTATAGTACAGAAAAAATCAGATCTGATCTTGCTTGTAACACCAAGAAAAAAAATCTATCGTGCTTAGCGTCCAATCAACTCCATCGCTTGCCATCCACCTTGTAGCAGTGCGGAAAAAAATATCTCTCATGTGTCTCTCGCTGGCAACAAGCCACTCTGCGGCAAAAAAAAGCCTGTCTCTAGATCGCACTTTTCTTGCGTCCTTTCTAGATCGCTCGTCGCCATTTCACTCAGTCGCCATGGTCTGCAAAAGACCTTATTAGAATAGCAGATCCTCTGTCCCAGATCTTATGTTGAGAATTCAAGCTAGGAAACAACTTACCTTAGTCTAAAGTCTTCACGTGCTTCTACCAGCGTGCAGTCTAGTACTAAGTCGTACAACTACTTTAAAAAGCATTCATATTTACATAGTTTCTAGTAAGTGCAGCAAGAAGCAGGCAAAAAACCGCATAAATCTAAAAAGCAAGATCCTCAAGCTCTCCGTAAGGGGCTTGCGCGCTGCTGACGTTTCATGGCGTCTAAGATGTCGCCGCAAGCAGCTTGATGAATCTCGGGTAGGCTCCCTAGCATCAGCGGAACTACTAAACACCAGGAATACTTCATTTGCTCATCGTCGAGGGACAAGCTAGCTGTACTGAAGAAAATCTTCGGGAAAGTACTATGACGAGGACGCCCGTCTGTCGAAAGGTCGCAATCCACGTCGAGTTGTTGTCCCCTCGGCTTTGCTCGTCACTACTTCCTTCTCCGGACTACTTCCTTCTCCAGACTACTTCCTTCTCCAGACTACTTCCTTCTCCGGACTACTTCCTTCTCCGGACTACTTCCTTCTCCAGGGTCCTCTACTTCATTGCCTAGCTGTCCGACGGTCGTTGCTCGATGTCTCTAGCTGCCTGTGACTCGTTATCGATCCCCACCCGGCTGTCTTTCTTGTCTAACCTTGTAACATCCTGACTGGAGTGAAGATCTCAAATTATGTATAAGAAAGTGTACCTGAATTGTCTGGATACTGCCATCGTTGGCTTCGAGGATTTTCTCATAGTACGCCGCCCGCGCATCTTCGTTGTCGAAGGTAGGCGCCGTTTTAATTGGCGGCATCTTGATTATTTTTTTTAGTTTAGGTCTAGGTCTTAAAAAACTTACTAGTTAGTTAATTAGATAGTTAGTTAGTTAGTTAGTTATTGTAGGATGTCTGGCGGAACTGCAGCGCTGAAGTTGTGGAACTATGTCTGTTGAAGGATACCACAACAAGGATTCAAACAGCAAGAGCAAGAACATGAAGTTCACAATGAAATTAGTCAAAGTCTGTTGTTGAAAAAATCTACAAGCGTAGTCTTGTTCAGTTTTTGCTCGGCGGAAATGGTCGAATAGTTAGTAGTTTCTGTAAACTGTACAATAACAAGAGCCCAAATAAGAACTGCGTATGTAGGCTCTAAGCCCGATTATGATTTTCTGCACAAGAACTATAGTCGAAGAATATCGACGTATGATGAAATCTAAGCGCTGATATCGTCGTGAATAAAGAACAACGCTTCAACTACCACACTTCGTGTTTACAACTTGAAAAAATCTTACTATTCTATAACGCGCATAGGCGTTCTAGTGAACTTAAACTTTCTGTTTCTTCGAAAACCGAGACTGCTGGTTGCCAAGCTGGAGTGGACTCCAGGAGGAAGCAGAAACGCCGTCGTAATGCTATCTTTTTGCTCAATCAAGACGCATAATCTATCTACTCTAAAGAAGAAGATGATCCAAGACCTCTGTCTTTTGTCCTAGGACCCTAAAAGTCTTATACTCACTACCTGAAAACCGTAGACGGTTGTATGTTTTTCAACATTCGCTTAGAGCGATGTGATTTCTGATCTACAGTACGACCCCATAAAGTCTATTTTTATGTTTTCAAACAGATGATCGTCTCCTCCTCGAAATGTTTTAATTGCGCGTTGTTAAACCCTACGGGCTTATCTCGGGAAAACGGTTATGCTTCCACACAAATGTTCCGCTTCCCTGTAAACCAAGAGGATTGAAAAGTGGGGAATGTTACTCAGGATCAACAACTTTTTCAGTTTTCTAATAAATCTAAAACCATATTTCAATCAGCTACAACAGTTTGCATCCATGATGCTCATTGGGCACACTCTCTCACACGCAAAGCAGGAAGACAGTATCTCTTTCTCTCTTTCTCATGCAAAGGGGGGTAGTTTTCAGCTCATCATACCAGATTTTTCTGCTCTCGCACAGGATTCTAGAACAACCATGTCACTCGTCACGCATCTCTGTAGCTTTTTTTGAAACGCTTGAAGATGCAGCACTTTTACTGTGATAATGAACATCGTTCACTTTCATCTCTCTCTGTTAGGAACAGGCGTGGATGACCTGGGTCGTTCAACTTCTCATTACCGATGGAGCAAATAGTTGTTGCTCTCACTCACTATAGAATCATCTGGCACTGTCTTTCGACTGTAGAATATGATTTTCGCTCTCAGGACAAAGTGGCCTAAAAAACACGCAGACACGGCAACACATCAAGTCGCTTAAGTGGAAACCAAAGGCGCAGGTAAGACCTGACACAGGCTAGCTTGTGTGTCCATGTCCGTGACCGCATAGACGGACCTGTTAGCCTTTGGGCAATTCTCAACCACCTCACCCGCCTATTGAGTAGAGTCAACAATTACACGCGCTGTTGCATACAGCTGCAACGCAGCAAAGTATGAAAGGTCAAGCTCAATGAGGAAATTTAGAAAAAAATAGAACGCGAATTGTTTGAACTCGTGAATGTGTTGTCATCTTTAGTGTCAGTGTATCCTTGTTGCGCACCTTCAATGCGCCCTTCATCCCCAAGCTTGTCCTCGGCACTGAGCATGCGTCAGTCAGTCTTCAGCACCGAACATGCATCAGTCGGTCTTCGGCACGGAGCTTGCGTCAGTCGGTCTTCGGCACCGAGCTTGCGTCAGTCGGTCTTCGGCACCGAGCTTGCGTCAGTCGGTCTTCGGCACCGAGCTTGCGTC